TATGGGAGGAATCTAAACATAAAAACAAAAGAGTGATACATTTTCATATGAAGAATAATTTGGTTATCATGTAGGCAATAGAGAAGTCAGCAACTTGTGGCAAGGGCATTTTATAATTGAAACTTAATTTGTTGTGAAATGCTAAATATGAGAACCATGGTTTATTACAGTGTTTGAATGATGAGATTTAAGCTATAGATCTCAAAATGACTAATTTATTTTAGTATGCAATGTTTTATTAATATTGAATTCAGTGATAAGAAGGTTAACTGGTTTTTTAAAAAATAGAGATATAAATTTTCTAATGGGGGAGCTAGTTTCACATGCAGTTTTAGTACAAGTACACTTTAATTAATCAGAAACAAATTTATTGAGAGGTTGAATTGTATAATTGTCGACTTTGAAGCAGGACTGAAAATGTAATATTATCTTGACCCATACTCTGAATCTGTGATTTTAGTAACAACAAAGCAGATATAATATGAATTAATTGATTAAATAATCAAATTCATGATGAAACTAATGATTTCATATGTGTATTTACTCACTCCTTCATATTGGGAAATTATTTTATTAGTGTGAGGGTAATTGTTTATCTACAAGTATTGTTTTGTACATTTTTACTGAATTTATATTTGAGATGAAATTGCTGAACAACCTAGAACCTCTAAGTGAAACTTGGAAAACAGATGATGACTTTCCACCTGTCACCTTAAATGTGCAAAATTGTCTTCAATTATCTTTATCTGCATGCTATCCCTCGAAAACTAGATCATGCTTTTGTGCTGTATTTTTGACACTTCTAGTTTTTTATAATCTGCTACAATATAATTTAAGTCAGAAAATTACATTGTGTTTAAGAAAGCAAACAAGAACATATTCTGAAGAATAAGATCTCAGCTCAATCATTTTCAACGTATTTACCCAAGGACATAAGACTTATCGAACCTAATTTTCAAATGCAATGAATTTAAAAAATGTATGCTTTTTATATTTCTGAGAAGTGACTGAAATTAAATTTGTGTGGCTTTAAATTAAATTTAATTTAATCTCATTTTATAAATACTCTGCATTATGACATCTGTGCCATTTCAATGGTAAAGATTACTAAGGTGAATTTTCTATCTGCTTTTTGCAAAAAATCATGCAATTTAAAATATTGTTAATAATTACACAGATTAATATAAGTTATAAATATGAAATGCTTTAAGTCTTGCTAAGGTAAAAAAAGTATCACTTATAAGTGATCTTTTATTTCAAAAGCACCCGGTAAGCTAGGTGCAGTGGCTCACACCTGGGATTCCAGCATTTTGGGAAGCTGAAGTAGGAGAATCGCTTGAGCCGAAGTTCGAGACCAGCCAAGGCAACATAGCAAAACCACATCTCTCAAAAAAGCATTCTGGTTTTGATAATACATAATATAGTCAACATAAGTATAAAGAATGTTGGACACCTACTAAAGTTGCACTTGAATGATGCACTCGGTGACTACTGCTATAAAAAAATTGATGTAGGACATTTATTTGGTAAAGCTTCAAAGAGTTAGGAATAGAGATTATATTTACTACATAAAAAATTATTTTTACTTCCTCCAGGCAGAAAGACATAAAACTAAATTTTAAGAGTTGGGTTTTAACTTTTCTTTTTACGTATACACATACACAAACATATATATATATTATATAAATAATAAATAAAGCACTAATACTAATGAGCATTCATAATTTTAAACTATAAAGTTATTACTTTTTTTTTTTTTTTGAGTTAGAATCTCACTCAAGGCTGAGCCACTGAGCTTGGCGACAGTTATTACTCATTGTTGTTTTTTACAAGATGTTATGTAACTTATGAAAGCATGCTTCACTTTCAGCAGGATTGTGTGCTAATTTGCAGAACATAAATTATCTAAGTGATTTTTAAGATCATATGAAGGTTAAAAATTACATGTTTAGCCGGGTTCGGTGGCTCAGCCTGTAATCCCGCGCCTTTGGGAGGCTGAGGTGAGTGAAT